CAACAGGAGCACATGAAGCTATGGAACTTGCTTAATCATTTTTAATTCAATTAAACAAGAAACTTTTTTTCAAATATCTTTTTTCTTTTTGTTTACTTTCAAAATTATTGTTACAACTTAAAACCACACTAAAAAAACTAGCTTCTTTTTCTTTTAAAAAATAAAAACCTTGTCTTTGATTGTCATCTTAATATTTTTTATTCATTTCAATGAAGAGAATATACAACAAGATATATATCATCAACCAGTTAGATATTGCGAATATTAATGAAAATCTTGTATATCATTATGAAATGAATGATAACAGCTAAACAAAAATACACTGTTGCAACAGTATATATTTGGCATTGAGTTTGAATAAGGAAAATTATTTTAATATGATAAGTATTTAGAGATGAAGTTTAGATCTTTCGGATTAGTTTGGGTCATTTTCATTGATCTTATTACTAGAATAATAACAAAATTGTTTTCATTTCTGGAATATATTTTAAATAAAATATCAGCTATCTGAGAACTGCGCAGGTAACAAAAAAAATAGGTTAATACTGATATAAGTGTGTTGATCAAGGTATTGGTGTAAGTGCAGCTCTGGTCTTTGTTTAGACACGTCCTCAATTCCGCCGCACGGGGAAAAAGCATACTTCTTTATACTTCCTATTTATTCTTCTCACTCTTCGACATGCACAAGAAAAAAAACCATGGTTTGCTCTTCTAGTATTTCTCCATACTTTTTCAAACCAGTGTGGCATTCAGTACGGATGATAAAAGAACGATACCCTTCAAGCAATCGAACTTGCTCTTCAAAGATTTGGAATCATTGTAGTATGCATTATATATTTGCCCTCTCGAACTTGAATGTTCATACTGTCAAAGTGTGAATCGCTTTACCGATAGAGAAGATCTGAATTAAACATCGCTCTATACTTCGCCGAATTTCATTATGCTTCTCCATGTGTCTCCGTACTCCTGTAATGGTATTGCTAATTGTATAAGTAGCATTGTTCTGATTTTATCTATATCTATCTTGCAAAAACTATGCTATATATATATCTAAAATCAATACTAATTTTCATCTGTTCAATTAATGATTTATTTCAAGTGATTTAACGAGATTTTTGATGAAGAAAAAAAGACGATTATAGTTCAATGATTATCTATTCAAATTGCTTAAAAGAGATACATTATTCTGTATATTTTATTTATAACAGTATTTCTTTCTTGTTAACATCAGTATCTTTCTTTTTTTATAAATACTTCATTGGACAAGTCAAATATTGTGTTGATTCATATTGAAAAGAGTTACTTTATTTTTAGAAAATATTTTCTTTCACCTTCATATTTCATGTCAATATTTTAAAAAATTTAATTTTATATAAATATAGCGTTGAAATATACGCATAAATATATTTTTAATAAACTTATGTATCTATGAAAAATATATGACACACATAAATAATAGAGCTTTTTATAAATATGATGCGTAAATGCAATAAATTGTCCTTAAAAGAACTTCTATTAATGCCATCGTGTAATAACACACACACATAGTCATTTATGAGAACAATTTAGTGTTTCGATGCATTGTTGCATAATGTTATCTGAGAACTTGTTTTCAATTGTGTATTTCATAGAATTTAGTACAAGTGAAATCAAGATTAAGATTAATGTAAGTAAATTTCTTAGTGACTTGTTTTAAATTTTCATAAGAAGGAATTAAATATTTCATTATAGAGAAGGTAATGCGGTTGAAGAAAATTTATTTTTAATATTATATGATCATTAGATAATAAATATAAAATGACATCACTTTTCAGTCTATTTATAGTAAATAAATTGTTTCTAAAGTAGATATTTTTTTTTGCTTTGCATTAACGTTATTTCTGCAAATCTTTTTCTGAGTAACTTATTTTTTTTGTATTTAGTATGAATTGTCTTTCACTATGTCTTTTGTATTTATTTGTTAGTGTTCATCGTGTTTAATTAAGTAAATGACATATGAATTAGTTTCATTAAATCTTTTTCTGACATGTCAGATTCTAACGATGAATTGTCATCATCATTATTATTTCTTAAGTAGATGTAATTTAAGATTTTTCGAACATAAAAAATATCAATGGATGTTGACAATACAGCTACACTATTACAAATCTCACAAGTATTATATGGTTGGGGCAGTTTGTTCATATTTTTTATTGGTAGTTTTGGTAATATACTTGATATAATATTATTTATTCGTCTTGAAAGTCTTAATACATTAGCTAGTTCTTTATTTCTTTTGGCTTCTTTTGTTGGTAGCCAATGTGTTATGTTAACAGCAACTCTTTTACGAGTTATTTTTGGCTTGACTGGATATGATCCATTATTTGCTTCATTATTTCTTTGTAAAACTCGTTGGATGGTGGGTCCAGCAAGTGGTGCTTTTTCACTTACTTGTGTTTGTTTAGCTGCTGTAGATCGATACATTATGATACGATCTCAATATCGTGCGAAGATCACATTAAATCAAGCTCGTTTAGCTATTATATTTGCTGCTATTTTTTGGTTAGGTTTTTTCTCAATCTATGCTGTTTTCTTTGTTGCACCAACACCAGGTTCTTGTCGATTGATTGATCCTATAATGAAACAGCTTATGCCTTTTATAAGTTTCTTTGTCTATAGTGTCATTCCAATAGTAGTACTATCTGTTCTTTGTCGTCTAATTTGGCATACTCTTGGTCAATTACCTGTAACATATTTACATGGTGGTAATCGTTTACATGATCAAGTAACACGTATGATTATTGCACAAATTATTGTTGTTATCATTACCAGTTTACCTAGTGCTGCTTATTCTATTTATACGATTTCTACAAGTACAATCATGAAAAGTTCATGGCGTGTAGCAGTAGAAACATTAATCAATACAGTATGCGTTTTAATTGGCTTTCTTACGCATGCAATTATGTTCTATGTTTATCTAGTTGCGTCAACAAGTTTTCATCAAAATGTAAAAACTATGTTTCGTGTTGGATTTCAACGTATTGGACCATTATTCGCACGATTGTTTCCCAATACACAAGTCATTGTTCCTATAGTTTGAAAACTGATTACATGTTTTTTTTCCGAATGAATTTTAAGACATTAATAAAGTTTATCTTATGAATCTTTCGGTTGATAAGCGCATTTCTATAATTATCAATCCAGGCAAGTTTTCATACCGAGATATTGATTTCTTAGCTATGCATATATAATAAGACATTATGTCGGCAATGAACAGCAGGATAAATAGTTACAATAACATGTTTTGTATTTAGAAACTATAGATAGATTTAACTAAAGGATAGAAGATTGATTTCTACTACTGTAAATCATTAGAAATCACTGTAATATATTAAAAAAATATGAAAAACCACCAAAAACTATTGAAAATCATCAGTAGGAAAGTTACAAGTAAAGTTTTATTTTCTTTGTTTTTCGATAATTTTACGCTATTTTTAATTGTTACTCTTGAATTTTAATGTTTTCTTATTGTGGTCAAGCAATAGATAAAAATTGATTTCTGTTGATAGGAATGGCTAGAGATCATCAGAAATCATTTTTTATTTTCGAATTCAATGTCACCAACAATAGAGTGTATAAAATCATGTTTATCATCATGTAAAAAAAAGACCATGTAAAATGGATCGTTTGGTAGCTTCATATTATGAAGTATTGAGATTTGAGTGCGAGGATATACCTGCTGCTCTCTCAGAATCGCACTCCCATATCCATACCCAGTTAATAATGAAGTTAATTAGTTCCGTGCGATGACAGCAATGGTAGACATACCTCGCGGAGAGATGGTTCCTTAGCAACCTTCTTCAAGCATCTTTAATCAATGAGATTCATTTTACTTGTACTATTTGAGCATGGACGAAATGCAAATATGATTTACACCTGACAAAACCGTCAATATATTGATACTCGTCAAGTATTCGATTCGCAAAACAAAAGTTGATCAATAGGAGCTTGTAGTATTCTTCGAAGTTTTCACTGTAAAAAATAAAAAGATGTAGAAAAAAAAAATCTTCCCTATCCATCATTACCATTACATAAACTCTTTTCTATGTTTATGAGCGTAAAATTTACCCTATTCTACAATTCTTTTTCCAACGTCGTCTCTCTTGACATATTTATTTTGATTTCATTCAAAGAAGTTTCGAAATATTAATCAAATTCATAGCAATAAAAAGTTTTGATAAAAATGATGTAATACAAACAATACGAAGAATACTAATATTCAAAACTACGCACTAACAACAACAGTGTTAGAAGAATGAATTGTGTAACGTATACGTAAGAATGTATATGTTTTCTTTGTTTCCATATATGTATCTTCCTTTTACTATATATTTTCTTCTAACACATTATCATCTTTTATTCGATAGTGTTCTAGAAATCTTGTTTCTACTGAATTTTTCACTGTCATAAAATGATTCAATTCCACTCCGTGATGTTTGCATTTCAATGTAGCTTTCTTTCACATCGTGTGCAAAAGATTCAGACGATAGATCCAACTCAACTTAAAGTCTAACTCGACATAAATGGCAACTTGTTATGTGTTGTAAAGCACTGTTTTATGACAGTTGTAATTTTCTGACAAATGTTTCGGTTACATTATTTCGACAATCTTAAAGCAATATATCGAAAATAGAGTGGGTTGATCTTCCTTTCATTCACACTTAATCACATTCAAATTGAATGTTGTACTCAAAAATAATAACCCACGTTGATAGTAGTGAATATACGACAAATAAAAGCGCAAAAAATTTCATGAAGCAGATTTTTAGTACTGTAAAATGAGTATAAGTTCAAGTTGGATGATTCTTTTCAAAATGTTAAGATAAGAATTATGACGAAAACGCTATGTACAATCACAAATAAATCGATAGATTAAGACCAAAACGTTTCACGTATGTTTGATAAATTTAGTAGTGTATAGAAACATGATAAACAAGGATAATTTGGCAATTGTTGAAGGACTAATCAGATTTGTGAGAACTCTATTAATATTTTTCAGAAATTCGGTTTGATTTCGTGATTGTATAAGAAGTTCTTGCAATATTTGCTGATTATTAATGACTTCCTGTTGATGACTACTATTATTGCTAGGTTTTCGTAACGATGTAGTATCACTGAAATATTGTTGACGTAAACGAGTAATACGTTGAATAAGTTCGTCCTTTGTAAGTGCCTGTAAATCATTATCGCTCATGCCAAATAATTCTTGACAATCAGAGATAATTGTATTCAAATGAGTAGGTGTAATTTCATTAATTCTAGATGGATTCGATTCTAAAATAAATAGAAGTTTTAAATATTGACACATTAATAGGAAAGTATGTCTTAGAATATATCCTTCATTTGTATCCTACTCCCACTTTCATACACCCATACCGGCTTGATCTTGGCGATTGGTATGAAAGTCTATTTTGACTTGGAGTTTTAGTTTTTTCTTATCGAATAATGAGTATTTTATTTGATCTTCAGTCTATGTGAATAGGATCATTGAGAACTGAAATGATCGAATCTCAAATTATAATATTCTCATCGGATAAGCATTATAGTCATTAGAAACATTTTAAAGTTTGAGCGGCAACATATATTCCTCTATTGTGATATTTGCATTATAAAGAAAACACCTGTTTTTACTTGTTTCAAGGTAACGATGCTAGTCGGATAAGCTGATGTCTTGATCTTAAAATATTTATTGTTTCTAATGACTTAAATGCTTACCTGTCTAGAATATTCTAGTTTCAGATTCGATTACTCCAGTTCTAAAAAAGCTTATGCCCAATGATTGAAGATAGAATAAAATACTCATAAATCAACAAAAGAAGGCTAAGACGCTGAACTGAAATAGAGTGTAATCTAATCATCAAGACCGTTCAATGACAATCTTTTTAAGTAAAAAATGATACAACATTTGAAGTTATGTCTTCATTAGTTGCCGATCGTTTTACAAGAAGGAATCATGATTTTTGACATTTTCAAACATTTTTGTTGATAAAATGAACACAATCTTCATAGATCTATACCAAATTTATCATGAGTATAGAAACATAATTAATTTTCTAGATCAATTCTTTTGATAAATATTAGAAAATAACATTCTCAAGATCTGGCTCCAATTCTATTGATACACAGTAATAAAATGACGTCTCGAGTAAAAATAATGATTAGCAATCGCAGAATCTCTCCATGAGATATTGAAGTAAAATTTCTCACTTACCAGAGTCTGTCTGTTCTTCGACCTCAATAGCTTTGATTTCAGCAATTAACTCTTCAAAGGCTTGATCAAAATTATTTAGCGACGAGAAGTCAATATACAATTGATCAGTTATACGAATTATTCACATATTTTATTTCTTATTCTGTCTATTTGAATTGAGCAAAGTTGAAGGAGATGAACGATGTCAATTTATGAATGACCTAATGGCAATGCCTATAGATCCTTCAGGTTTAAATGATGCTTCCATCAGACATGGAATGAATTTAATATGCTTATTCACAGTGTACAAGACCTCTAAATCAATATGATTAGTAGTGAAAAATGAGAAAATATTAAAAATTTTCTAAAAAAAACTTACCTCGTTTACAATAATAACTGTCACAATATTCATGATTGAAGCAGACAAGAACAACGAAACAATTTTCAATTGCTCTAGCCATTGCTTCATGTATACCTCCATGCAAATTATTCTTATCCATCCATACTTTATAATTTAGATCCTAGAAATGAAAACTATCATATATATTTATGCATATGAAGTCATCTAAAATAACCTTTAGTCGATTACAGATTTTTTCACAAATATCTAATGATGATTTACGATGATAGCTGATCATGATATGTCGTTGCTTTTGTTGACTATTAATAGCTTTAGAGCACGCTTGAACAGGTGACTGATCTTCAATGCAATAAAGAAAGTATTTGTAGTTTATAATAGTTCGATCTCTTTTTTCGTCTACCAGGTGTTTGTGAAGGTTCTTGTACTGTTTTATTGTTTCTATCACTTGGCACTTTGCCAGCATTGTTATCAGAAATAGTGCTAGCATTATTCGAATTTGAAGGCAATATTTCCACGTTTAAAGCTGAATAATTCACAGAATAAATATGTTTATTTGACAATTGTATATATTTACCAGCCGTTGTTGTTGTTGGTGTAGAAGGCACGACTGTTTCGATTGAAGTTGCAGCATCGTCTGGCAAAAGTAGTTCATTGAAGTTATTACCACTTGTTTCTAAACGAATAAATGAGCAGTATGATAGAGTACTATATGATGTAACACGATTACTCACTGTTGCTTGAGTCAATAGGTTGAACCGATTTATTACTATCATCAGCCATTTCTTTCTCTACAAGACATAAAATTCTAATCTCTATTCAAAGTTTTTCTCATCATTTCACTTGTGACTCATGAGAAAACATCTCTAGGATTCCATTCGTTTTTGAGCCAGGATTCATGCATCTAGGGGTAGACTTTAGTGAACTATGTCTACTAGAAAAAAGAAAGTATCTATATGAAACCTTCAAAGTACAGCTTTTTTTCATCGATAATACATAGAGCTTGTTCTTTTCTGAAAATTTCATGTCTCGAAAACACTTACTCGAAAAGTTCTGAAATATTTTAATGTGAACTTGTCTAACTGAAATCTTTACGTCGGAAAAGTTATTGAATCGAAATTCAACAATATTATCTTGCTCGAAATACAAAGTTCTACAGCAAAAATTGACTAAAAATGTTTCATTTCGTCAGAAAGAAGCTATGAGCACGAACCATTATATAGTGAATATAGTTCATTAGAGTTTCAAAGATGCGTAAATCGCAGCTAAAGAGCAAACGGACATCCAAAAATATTTCTTCATCGAGAACAATTATCAACAGTACTTTTTTTATGTTGGTAAAAACCTATTTATTATTTCATAAAATTATTACTCATCTTTCCTAGTGAAGAAAGAAGCGTTAAAAATTCTTATGTAATCACCACACATGAAGCGCGTGCTTACAACTGTTACGTACAGACTTTTTTTTCGGTTCTTTTTCTTTGTTGTTCTGTTGAAACGCCGTGGATGTTGTAGTCAACAGTCGATAAAATAAGTATGATTTACAACCCTGCATGTGTTGACGAATATATACCGAATCTTTAGTTTTGGTTCGCGTTAATAATGATGTAAAGACAGAAAAACAACCTTGATTTTCATAATTTTCAAGCAAGAGTAACAAGTTACAAGAGACTCACAATCTGGATTCAATTTTGTCTGTAATTTCATGCATGTAGATCTTCAAAAATCATTTGACATAGAAAATAAATTTTCAAATGCAACTGTTGATCAAAATGGATGTAGCTTTTCTATTTTTTTTTGCATCAGAGACTAATATTCAATAAATATTATCTGTCTATTTTAAGATCACTAAGGCAGATATTTTACAAAAATAGCAAGAACATAGCCGTTTGATGAATTTGAATGTGTGTGAGTGTCTTATTTTCCACTAAACCACGTACATAGTATATGTTTAAAAAAATTTAAGACTTTCAATTTTTCAAAATAGTTATTTATTCTTTATTTTTTTATATTTCAATTCAACTCTGTTTATATTTTTGGTAAATTAAAGTGAGTTAAAAAAGTTGACATTAAATAAAAGTACTACTAATAAATGAATATCTATTATCTATTCGTTAATCGATTTTAGTTCTTTGGTGGCGGGTGTAGTATATATACCACTTCTGGTATTTCTCAAAATCCGAGGATGATATATATACCAAATCAATCAAAAGTAAGTGGAAATAGTCTACATAATTGATTATGCATAATTAATTGTTTCAAAGCTTATCATACCCTAAAACACTTTTGATAATGATTTTTGATTGAATAAACATGTATTTTTACTTATATAAAAAAACTTTATTTTTTCAAAAAAACACCGCCACCAAAGGGTTAATCATGCATATCGAAGATCACTACTTTTAACTAGATTCTCATAGAATATCCTGTTTTCTTCGACGATTTTTTAAAATTTTTTGTCTCCAGAAACTATACAGTTATGAATGACCTAAAATCAAATAAGTAAAGTTGAAACTGATTTGCAAATTCTTCTAACATTGAAATGGCTCAACTGCATTAGATTAAAAGCGATTTCCTAGTCCAATTTTTCTCAAAAAGTTCTTGGGGAATTCCAATAGGAATTTGTTAGGGACTCATTAAGGAGGTTAAAAATTTAAGGGCAATTCATGAAAAAGCAGATGAACTCACTTAGAATATCTTAGCACAGGATTCAAGTATCTTCCAAAAGGATTCGCAACAAAGCTTTCTACTGTTAGACCAAGATACATCTCGATGAGACCTATCGATTCGAATCGCCAGTTATAGTCGCTGATTCTCTCATCAACCAGAAAAGTCTCATTATTATGAAAAAACGCTAAAAAAATCTCAGATTTCTGAAAACCGCGTTGTGATTGGTCCAGGTGATAGATAGACTTAGATCAAGGTAGATCTTGACGAGCTCTATTGATTGTAGATCTCAAGAATAGCAGTTGAGTGTAATATTGATTAGAAATTCTCAACCTTTTTTTTTTTCTTCTCCAACGCGTATAGAAAAATATTGCTTTTGGCTCGTTTATTTCAATGAATTGTTGTGTGTCAGAAAAAGATGTCTGGATTCTGCAAATAATGACTTTGATGTATTTATATATATATTGATTTATAATATACAAAATCAGAAAGATTATCTAATATTCTTTGTTATTTAGTACTAATTGAAATATTTCATATTATGTAAGAGTTAATTGACCGTAATAACATCTATTATCAATAAGTTGATAAGGATATGAACAAGTTTTTGTAAAATATGAACGAATTTGATTGTATAATAGATAGAATATGTCGAAAAATTTAAAATTTAATTTTATAAGTGATAGAAAAAAATTCAATTTAGTATATTGTTAGACATTCTTATCATAAAGAATCCAAATATTTGAAAAAATCGATCATGATACAGTCATTAATATTGGTGACAACAACTCTTGAAAATTGAGTACTTATGTATCGAATTTGTTCAGACTATTAGGTGTATATTTTCGATTTGAATTTGATTTTGATAAATTATACAAAACATTTCTGTTTTTTTACTATAATTGAAACAATCTACAAGTTTGTCACACATTGTTTGGAAAAACATAGTGCCATTTTGTATTTTGTTAGGACAAATAAAATGTAATCGGACTTTTTTGTTCAGATTTTTATTAGAAACGCTGAACAAAGTGTGGTCCACTTTGTTTTAGATAACTCCCTATCATTCAATGGTATCGAAGGTCAATAACTTTCGTTTGATTCGGCTTAGATAGAGAAAGTGTTCCAAAACTACACAGAAACCATTCAGTCATCTGTTATTCTTAGGAAAATATTTTTTCAGCTGGAACCAGAGTATGGATGTGGGTGAAGCGAAGATCACACCCACACCCTTCATATTTTATTTCTTATCCTTTTTGAATATTCAATTTCATACTTTCAAAATTGTATATTATCTCAACCACTTACTTTTCTTTTTGAAATATATTTCAAAATAATCCGTAGAACAAATTCGTATATTTTTTTTACAGTAATACTAATATAATTGATTTTTCTGTGCTTGTGAAAGATTTTTATTTATTGTTTTTAATTAATATTTATCTAGAAACAAAAGATGATCTTACACGATTTATTGTATTTTTTTATAAAAAAAACGAATGAAATTTTTTTCTATCTTAATCAAAACCAGACGGTAAGTCCGGAAGTACCTTCTTCAACAACAATATACGGTTGTTTATTTAGTGATAAAGCAAGAATGTGATTTTTTAATTGTTCAATAAATGAAGATTGTTTCATTTCTGCTGAATCAACGTCATAAACAGCTTGATAATGATGACGTCGAAAACAAAAAGAAAAGTCAGAAATTATTGGTACTATCTCTGCAATGATTTGACAGCTTGTATCATCTGGAGGAATATGCATATTATACAAAAGCATACGTAAAGAGTTTAGCTCTGGCAAACTTGATAGTTTACGTAAAGCAGTCCAATCACAAGTTGCAAAACTTGTACATTGATGATGAAGAGTTATTTGAATAGATCGAATATTTCTTAGAAGTTGAGAACTATTCAACGAGTCGAGACTGTCTGTGAGAATAAGATGACGGATATTCGGTAAATTCACCGAAACTTGTCTATCACATCGTAATAAATGAAGTTCGACAATTTCATTTGAAGAAATAAGATGAGAGAAGAAAGTAGTAGACGATGGAAGATTGTCTGACATATTTAATTTAATAAGCCGAGAAGAATGAATTTTATTTGTTTGAAAATACGATGTAAATACTTGTAATTCACTAATACATCTATCTGGAACACATAATTCAAAAAATTCTTTGAAAATCCATGGCAATGTGTAGAATAGATGTTGTCGACTTTTGGTTTTCGTTCGCTAAAAAAAATGACAAAGTATCGAAAAGAAAAGTCTATCATTGAAGTAACATGTTATAGTTACAAAAATGAAAACTTACATATTTTTGACCAGGAGTTTTGAACGGCTGATTATCAGGCCAACATTCAGAAATAAATGTTGCACTAGCTATTTCATGAGAATAAAGTTTATTATTATGTAGTATATATTCACGAAGTTCCATATGTGATCGATCATCATTGATGATAAAAGTATAATGAACATCAATATGACGAAAATCTGTAAACAATGCTGAATGATTCATTTCAACAAGATCATTAACATCAATTACAATAGAGAAATTCATTCGTCGTAATATAGGCATAATACGAGAAGAAGTTAAGGCATCAATAAATTTCCATTCCTCAATACAATGCCAAATAAAAGACTTGGTAAAACTAAATCTGTGTAATGTTTTCATTCGAGGTAAAAGATTTGTATCACATAAACTATATTCCATATCATTACAGTAATCATTCAATGTTATGTATAATCGTTGTAATGTATGTGCTAATGGTTCAGTCGACATGATCATCAACAAGGCATGTGTTGTAGAGAGTGTAATAGTTAAATTGATTAATGGTGTTTGTATTGTTTTAAAATTCCAACAATGTAAGAAAAAAGATACTTCCGTTCCTAGATCAAGTGAACGAAGAGCAGGCAAATGATGAAAAACTTCAGTAATGAATTCATATAAATTCCATGCTGGATAACACACTTCTCGGAATATACCACACTTAATGAAATAAAAATTAAATGTTAGAAAAATACTTATATAAGTGTGATATGGATTGAAATTTGAAAATTTTTCTTTGATTATCAAATGTTCTATAAGAATAAAAACTTTCTTTAAGGCTATCATACCCTCATCATCTTTACGGACATTAAAAAATATGTTTTGATGTTTTATTTTTCAGTGATATGTATACTTTGAGGTGTTTTCTATTGATATGCAAAAAAAACTTCCTTTGAAAGTCTCTTAGACTTCGAAGGTAGCGATTTTCAAGATCAGCCTATCTTAAAAAACTTGATTTGTAGTTCTTTTTTTAACTTCGTCTTTGTGTTTGATTTACTTATATACAAACATTTATATAATTAGAGCACCATTTTTAGAGTCATTGAACCTCCGATCCTTTTTTTTCGTTAAAAAGCAAGAATTTAAAAAAGTCGCTTTCATAGACACTGCATTCTGGCACGCTCATTCAAACAAAAAAAAACATATTAAATGTATAGACTGACGACCATAGAGAAGTTGTGGAGACGAAATTAGCCATTTGTTGACCCTTGTTTGGCCAATATCTCCCTCAACCCTCACGGTAAAGGGTCAAAATTTTTACCATAGTCTTCTCCCTACAGTCCCAACGTATCCTGAAAATTTTATACCATTCGAAAGTTCCTAACCTGAGATCGATTTTTGAGAGTCAGCCTTAAAACTTACACTCACTATTTTTTTCGTAAATATATATCAGTTTCCCAAAAACTAATATTGCTATTCAAACATATTTTAAATACAATAACGCATTTAATTTAAATGATAATAAATAATTCTTGCTAGTAAGCAGGTTTAAGATAAGCCTTTTGCTTACAAAGACTTTATATATTTTACTTTGTTGCAATACTATATAAAATAGAATAGTTGCCTTTATTTTTCTTATTCTATTGATTAGGTTAGATTGTTGTATGTCTTTTATTTTTTGTATAATCTATTTTGATTTTTGTACGTAAAAGCTAGAAGTTATAGTTGATTCAATGAAAAATTATTTAGTTAGCTTCTTTCTAAACATAAATAAAAAGCGCAAAAAATAGCTTGAGTCAACTCGAAGAAATCGTTTGAATTGCTCATCACTGTTCTAGTGTTTTTCGTTTATTTAATATTAATTTTCAAATCTTATTTTGTTGTTGTAAAATATTTCGTCTTATTGACACTATAAAAATTGAGCAGACCTTTTCATGTGATCAAGACAGCCATTAGTTCTTATAACTAACAATATACACATTATCATTATTTATATTAGTTATTTTTTTTTCTTTATCGTTGTGAACACTGGAAAAACGACATTATTTCTGTCTCTTTTTACTGTATTTAGAAACAAAAATATAAAGAAAAGAATATAATATAAAAAGTAAGAGATTGTATGTTTTTATTTATAAGCAAAAGTGTAGAATTTTCCCTGAAAAAA